CTCTTTCCCCATACACTCAGATTTTGCACTGCAAAAATAAAAAGAGCACACTTCAAATGGCTCCTAGTTCCAATTTTAAATAGCTCTTCCTTTTTTTTGTTATTTTTATTTTTACAAAAGACACAGCTTTTAGCTCCTGTTCACAGTAATACAACAGTATTTAGATCCTGCTCCTCTGACACTATATACAAAGTACAGTTTTAACATGCCATCTTGTGGATCAACAGCAACTCCCCATCATGCATACCTGCAACCTGGCCATGTCCTGCTGCTACTTTTACAACAGATGCCATGTTCGGACAGGAGTCTGCACAGTTTCTAGCAATGAGAGCCACCACTTCTCACAATCCCCAGCTCTGAACAGTCACAGTAAAGGGACATTGCTACGGGCCTCTGGAAACTTTTTTGTGAAGTCACTATACTAAATAAAGTCTCTACTTTTTCATGTGCAAACCTACTATGAGCACACAAACATGTCACTGTGTGGTGACAACAGGGTGTGAACTTTTACTGCACGTTAGCTGCTCCACAGAATCACGGAAGTCCAAGTGAAATAGTAAGCCCAGTGAATCAGCTTCACCTAGCTAAACAGAGAACTTGTTTTTCCAATACAGTGACCTCAGCTACTGGGATCATTTCAGTATTCCCATGAAAGAAGTTAGAGCTACTTTGCATTTACCACTCATCACAAATAGCTACTGTGGTGAAGGAAATTCAGACTTCTGCCAACCTTCACAGTAACTTGTCCTTGTGTCAGTTCCCTTGCTTCCTCTTCAGAGGAGTTTTCAGAAACTTCAGATGTGTTTGCAGAATTTGCTACCCCAGAGTTCAACAGTCTCACAAACTCTGGTACTGGTCTTGCAATCTCTGTTTAGACAATTTTTTAAAATTTTTCTTAGAGTCAATAACGTCTTGCCTGAAAAAAGATTAAGAGTTCCTGTCCAGTATGAACACTTTTTAAGAGTTGAGCATATTATTTAAGAGTTAAAAAAAAAAAAGACAAAGCTTACAAATGTCATGAAGATACCGATGATCAGATGGCTCACCAGTTTGTCATCTTCCAAAGAAATAATGGCATAATCCCTGTCCAACAGCACTTTCCAACTCCAGAAAGCGTGTAATAAAGTGGTAACAAAACAAGAGAACATGACTAGTGGCAGGAACACAGTGCAATAATCAAAGAAGTCTAGTGTGAACGGCAGATGAGAGGAAATTAAGTTACTTATGTAGGCATAATAAATAAATAATTACCTTTTTAGAGTAACTTTTGAGACATCTCAAAGCAGAAATAAGTCCTCAGAAAAGACATGAATGAAAAATTAGCAAGTTCATGAGCCAGATCAGGAAAAGACCTCCATACAAAAAAATTGTGATGGAAGAAAGCCCAGAGATATGTGTGAAAGAAACAGATAAATTAGGAACAAAGATAAGAGAGCAGAAATGCATAACGGTGGCAATGAAAAGAAAAGGATAGATAAGTAGAAAAGCAAGGACAAATAATGAACTTGATACGGTCATTTATCCCATGTATAAAAGTAAATTTAATATGGAATCATAAAGACTGTTGACAGGAAATTTTGTGATAAAAAGGGTAAAATATCATCCTTTGTGAAAACACTTTTTTTGCAAATTGGACCAGTTGTAAGCTCTACTTCTTTTCTCTCCAACGATGCCAGAAGATGACAACACCATGGCCTACTCCTGATTGTGTTCTCATGCTTCTGGGTAATGAAACCACTGTTCAAGCTTTGCTGGAAGCCATGTCTGCTCTGTCCAAAGTATATAAATGATTTAGTAAATAACGTGATAAATAAATTGCTGTGGTAGGATAGACCAGTCCTGAATACAAGCCACATTGCAAACTGAATTGTGGAGCTCAGATTTAAAGATGCAAAGAATTACACCTACATGCATTATTCTGCTATAAGCTGGCCAAGAGAAATAAGATAAAAATAAAGGAAAAGGAAGAGCATACTGATGGAATTAAATTGCCTTTTAAACTACATTATCTTCTCTTAGAGGAACAAACAAGGAAAAAGTGAAGACTGCCTTCCCCACTCCTACATTTTCTATGAGCATTTGTAGAATTAAAATAAAACAAATGATTGTTCATACAAGGACAGAATAACAGTCTGCAAAGAAAATAAGGAGTTTGGTCCTGTGAAGTGACAAGTAATTTTTTCTCCCATGGCAAATGAGAGAGAAAGATGGTTGGTAGCTTTCAGAATAATATTCCTAGATTACAAACCAACTCTTAAGACCCCGGACCATCAGCCAGTTATGACAGACGGGAACACTAACGTTCATACTGAAAGATATGAAATTTTAGGGAGGAAGATGCAGCAGATAAACGAGTCAGAGGGACCATTGTGCAAACAGGAGCCCTGATTCAAGTAAGGATTAGTTCTTCCCTGTATCTTCTCATTTCTCCTGGGACTTTTGTTTCACCTTGGCATCATGTAGATCCCCCTTTTATACACTTCCCTCACTTTCCTATATTTGCATGACTTTTATTGGTACATCATTGTACAATTTTGCTGGCCTTGAGGACCTGGGATATCACTGGCATCCTACTTTTAGTGAATGCAAAGCAGAATGAATTAGCAAAACAGGGAGTGTGAGGGAAAAGGAGATGAAGCAGTGTGACAATAAGGATCATTACAAAGAGCTCACAGCACCTCTGACTACATGAAATACTAGACAACAAATGGATGGAATAGAATATCACACAGTGTTACTACAGAGGCATCTGAAAACATTTTGTGAACAACATAGACAGATGTCCCAAGAGGGCATCAGCAAACTTACATCTAAAATACAAAAACAGAATACATGCAGGTTTTTTGACCAAATAGTTGAGTATCTTCTGCAAGATGATGCATATTAGCAAATGAAAAGGGTACTCCCACCTAGACAGCCTTCTGGAAAAGGCTTAGAACTAGGAGTTCCAACAGATTAGTACAGTTTGCTCTAAGTGTTGATTACATCCACACATTGCTGGAGACAAAAATCACAATTTTCTCCTTTTTCCTCAAATGGAGATGGCTACAACACAGCTCTGATCATCAAACAAAGCTCAGCCATTCATAATACAGGTTATAGCTATTAACTACCTCTGGAGTACCAACCTGACAGATTTTTCAATCCATAATTTCCCACACTGCTTGCAATACTGTCACACTATGCATGCTTTGAGACGGTCATGAGGTGTGACAGATTTTTTTGTTTTTTTAATATACACTGGTTAAGAAGCAGCAGCTTCCAGCATACTACAAAGCTCAGGAATGGGAAATGCAAAGAATCTCAGGCACCTTCAACTTTCAGTTAAGTTCTGAAACCTAACCCCTTGTGGAAAAAAATAGTCTCCATGGGACATAAACCCAAGCGGACATAATCTTTCACGGCTTTTTTTCCTTAAACATCTACTTACCTGCCTAGAAAATAGTCTCCATTTATACTACTTACCTACAACTAGTTTCTAGGTTAAAGATCATTAGCAGTGCATTAATTTTGTGATACAGTTTTGGGGGCTTAACCTGTGCAACACCAGCACCTTGAGCACCCAGTGAAGGCAGGGAAATGGAAGTCAGTGGTGCAAGAGCGCTCAGGAATGGACTCACACACTGCAACTCCAACCTTGTGTTTCATTCTTTTGGGCCAGTGCCTTAGAAGGCGCATCAAGTCTTTTCCCCTGCATCTCAGAAGGAGGATAGCTTCTTTGTCCTAATGAGCAACCTAAAGTTCAGCTGTTGAGAAAGGTCCTTTTTGAACCAGCTTGAACGCCAAGAAATTGGGAATTGAAGGCACCAGTCTGGAAAAAAAGGGGCAAGTGAGAGCAAAATGTAATTTCCTGCTCTTGGGGTGGTTGACTAAGAAGAGCTATAGACCAGAGGCAGTAGCAACTGCTATTAAAAAAAAAAATCATTAGAAAGCAAATACCATGAAACATGTGTAAGAAGTCTCCAGGGCAACCTCCATATTTAGAAGGTCACTTTAAATTATCACAAATGTATTTGGTATAGTTCTGCTGTGCTTTCAGTAGAAGGCCATGTCAGTAGGGTAACTCACTTGCTGGTTGCCTGAGGGACTATTAAGTTGGGTTTAGCTGTGCTGACATCTTGAGAGCTTTTCAACCATTTGCAGCACACAACACAGATCGATTTTAGTCACAGAATCACAGAATGTTAGAGA